TTTGAGGGGAGAAGCCCGGCCCAGAAGACTCAGCCCGCCGACGCCGTATTTCTCCAGTGTCTCCTCGGAGGCGGGGATTGCGGTCGGCGTCCTTTGCCCGGACAAGGAGCTGAAACTTCAAGGGGGGGGGGAGAACGTAGGTCAAGGGCCTCCCCATCGCAAAAGAGAGGCGCCCCCTTTTTCCTGTGGCAATCGTGGGGGGAGGCAGCCAAAATCCAGGCCGCCCCGGTTTAAGAAGGGTACCAAATGACCATCCCGGAGGACGGATCCGGGCAACCGAGAGCCCGTGCTGTATCTTGCAGTACCTTGTCTTCCTTCTCCCCTCCCCCCTTTCTTTTCTTGACATGTTAGAGTGAGGAAGCGACTCTGTGATCTGGGTTCCAGATCGCTTAACAAAACGCAAATACAAAAATAGGCCATATATTTATACACAAAAAGAAAATCATTATAGAATTCATGAGCTCTCGTGGCTTAAAACACCGCTTTATCACGTTTGTACCAGTGTGAAAAACTTTAAAAGTCCAAAAGTACATGGCAGGATGGATTTTGCCAGGCCCTTTGCTCTTTGATGTAATGTCTAAAAAGTTCTTGGAAAGTTGGAAATTGTCAGACCTCTCTCTTTTAGATGGAAATCCGGAGACTGGTTGATGTTTTATGGTTACAGTTTTAGGCATTTGTGGCCTGAGTGGAACAACCCACTTCTCCAGACAAAGAAACAGAGGTCATGCTGGTACATTCACCTCCCCCTTTGTGGCTTTTCTTTCAAACGACCACACTGACATTTAACATTGCAGATAAGCCTTTTGGTAGCACTGTTTTCACTTCCAGTACTGTACTACTTCCAGTACCTGTGCATTTTTCTACTTCAAAATGATGCTTCTGTTTCCCAGGTCAATGTGTTTAGTTACTGTCACAACAGCAAAAGCAAAAAAATGTCATGTGGATGCAATGGTGCTGTTGATTTGAATGCAAAAATGTGAAAATCCATAAGTCCAGAGTTCTTTGCAAAATTAGGCCCAGGAGAGCCCCCTTTTTGTTTGCTTGCTCTTTGCTCTGGAGAAGAGAAATTTGGTTATATGCTTCACAGCTAAAGTTTCTACTCATGGCTTCTAAGAACTGTAATATTATTAAGTTCTTAGCAATGAAAAGACCCACTTGTGGATTCATATCTGTCATTTCTTTCTGAATATATTTCTTTCAACAAAAGGCCTGGATTTAAATTCAATTGGTGTCATGAATTCAGTAGGTGACTTTAAGTTACTCTCTATCATGCTTCGTTGTGCCCTTTGCCATTCTGCAAAATGGGGACGTAATAATGCAGATTTAACATAGAGTGCAGGGCTTACAGCTGCCCCACCCCCCGGTCTGTCATCTTTGTGACTTTGGACCTGCAGTTTCCATTTTTCCATATCATCTGCCACATTGACCGGGCCTCATGACTGTGACAGCCCATGAAATACAGATGAAGCTCTTGCACATGTTGAAGTACCATGTAAATAAATATTACATATTGTTTCTGCTCTGGATCACTTCCTCACAGGAGGCCACTGCTCATTTAAATCATTTGCTGATTAAAACTGAGATTTAAAACTCAGTTGTGATAACTTTTTAACTTTTAAATACCATATTTTCCATGTATAAGACACCCCCATGTATAGGACACCCCCCATTTTTCTAATCCAAAATTAAGAAATCTAAGTGGAGTTTAGCAAGTGCAGGGGGAGAGGGATCAAAGTGCTGCAGGATCGCTTTGATCCCTGCTTTCCCCTTCACTTGTTTTTGTTCTCAACTTACTTCCGTGTATAAGATGGGCCTCAATTTTTGGTCTAAAGGTTTTAGACAAAAGTATAGTCTTATACATGGAAAAATATGGTAAATAAATAATAAATAGAGACACATTCACGTATTTTAAGGGTCTGAAACTGAATAGGTAAAGCCTTGACAATTAAGTCCAGTTGTGTCCGACTCTAGGGGTTGGTGCTTATCCCCGATTGTAACCTGAAATGGAATGCAGTTACCTTCTCATCAAGCAGGACAAGCAACGGGAGCTCATCTTGTTGTGTGGATTCGAAGTGCCAACCTTTCCATCAACAGCCCAGGGGTTCGGCGGTTCAACCCGCAGTGGCACTCTCTGTGACAACCCCAGACCTACTGGGATATGCCACAGTTTCACTAAGCGGCCACCAACCATTCCCTGTAAGGAGTCACACAGACCAGGAATGGATTTTTAACAAACAAAAGAATAAGGTTTATTTAAATAACACACAGGGAAAATAAAATGATCAAGTGAATAAGATACAGTAATGTGGCTTAGTCTCACTCATACATACACCAGTTTGGTTCACACAGAACACCTTTAAATAAAGCACAGACCCTGAACCTATCAGTTCTGGCTACCCATACAGACACCTGAACCTATCAGG